CCCGCGTTCGGGTTCTTCCCTATTCCGCCGCCGTCGCGGTTTGCTTTCTGCACAGGAAGCGGTGTAATGAACTGGCAGGGAAACGCCGTCCTCCGTAAATGCACACAGTAGTCCTACTTGTAAGGACTTGGAAGACTGGTAAGAAAAATACGGTGTTCCTCAAGCAAACACGGACAGTGCGTCTAAATGTTAAGAGTTTGAACATATCAAATAATGCAGACGACATGGCTTTGCTGGCTGTAGAATAGATTATTATTGGTATACCGCATAGAAACGGAAGTCCCAAATAGACAAATGGTAGGATGGCTCAGTTAAGTAATTCAGTATAGTAATTTATTACATGTTGAATAGGTGCAGAAGTCAGTATAGCATTGTCTGTTTAGTTATCAGATGGAACTGCAGAAACGTGAGTGAGGGACAGAGTGAGAAAGGATTCTGCAAAGTGCCCAGACTTACCATCAGTCAACGTACACGGCGAGCTTACGCATTAGCTTTGTAAAATACAACTGTATAGTAGTCAAACATCAAAGAAACACAGTTCAGGGCGCAATTTTAGATTGGGTTGATAGACTTGATGAAAACTTGGAGACCTGTGCATTTGTTTTATCCTAGTACTGTTTTAACAAAAGGATCAGCAAGTTCTTGATAAGTTTTTTTTTTTTTTGCACAACGGGCAATGACAATATGTATTTGTGCAAGCGCAAGGTCGATTCCCGGTACCCGAGAAAAACCAAAAAAAAAAAAAAAAAAAAAAAAAAAAGAAAAGAAAATATGTATTTGTAATCGCATTAGTTGAACAGAAGAAAGCTAGAAAAAGCCACAGCCCTGTGGAGTAGGGGTATGAGAGCAAGCTCAGAAGCTGATAGCCTGTTCAAACTTTAGCTCTGCTATTCCCCACAGAACGCTGAACCTCTCTGTGCTTTAGTTTCCTCATCTGTACCAAGAGAAGAATAACACCTCCTGAGGTGGTTGTGAGAATACGTGTAAATCATTTTAACAGTGCCTAGTCCATAGTAGGAGATATATAGGCATTATTATCCTTGTTAGTATTTAGCAAAATAATAGGGTCAGAAAGCAAGATTTAAGGAGGGGACTAGCCTTTCCTCCTATTTTTGTTTCGTATGTTCTTGCTGTACTGAATGGCAGGAAAACTGACCTGCATTTTGTTGTAGCTCAGCCTTCTGGATGCTGGGAGCATCCACTGTCATTTGCTAAACATTGAGATGTGCTCCTTACCAAATTCTGGCTCCTTCTTCCTGCTTCTACCAAGAATACGTAATGTTTATAATTATTATTCACACAGTCTAAGATGGTTAGTCATATTATTTACCATAATTATTTTGCCGGCCTAATTGTCATGCATTCATATGGTATTTTGTAATTTCCTAATGCCTCACAACCACTAATTCTATAAGGAGGTCTCTTTAAAATAGGCTTGAGTTGTTTGCATTTGAAGCCTATCATTGTATGCTTATTTTAAACATAATACAGTCTATGTTTTGCTCTAGGTTAATATCAATGCTAGGGTAAAGATTCATCTACCTCATAACTAATTTCCAGGATATGCCAGTTGGACTAGGATTGTAACTGAGTGGATATTCCTGTTTCTTATTCTGAACTTAGAATGCCCGTCTCTACACATTACTGTCAGCCTAACACGCGGTACAGCCCAGCCAACCTCAGCAAATTGTGATTTGAGGAAACGCAAGAGGAGCTTCCCTAAGCCTCCAAAGCACATATCAGTAGATTTGTTTTTCTGAAATGCCTTAATTAGAACTTCATTTCTTTCTTCCTTTAACATAAGTCAATTAAGAAATTTAGTCCCTGTTTAAAAAAAAAAAAAAAAAAAAAAACCCTCAGAATAAATTAGTTAAACCTGTGTCCAAAACCAAGAGAGTTTCATCAGTTGAAGACACAGAAAACCCTAGAAAGCTAAAGCCCAGTTAAAGTGGAACTGAGAAAGGAGAGAAAATGTGAGTTAGATGATACCTGCTTCCAAAGTCTGGTAGACTTCTGATTAAGTCTGTGGGCAGGAAACATAAGTTTACCAGCATTCTCGTCCCAAACCCCACTGAAATGACAGTTAAGGGAATTTTTATGGTTTATAGCGAACATGTTCCCCCACAGCCTCATGTGCTGAGAGGTGGGGATTTTGGAAGGCGACTGGATATGGGAGTTTATAGCTATCTTGCTGTTAGGAGGTGGGATTCTGGTCGGAAGGGGTGGATCACTGGGGATGTGGCCTCAGTGTATGTTTTCCCTGCCCCTCCATGACATCTGTCTGTCTCTGTCTGTCTGTGTGTCTCTCTCTGTCTCTCTGCTTCTCACTGCCGTCCCAGAAGCTCTTTCTCTCCTGCCATGCCCTTCTGCCATGCTGCCCTGTCTTCGAGCCTGCCCACTATGGACTGAAACCTCTACAAATTGTGAGCCAAGATAAATCTTTCCTTCTTTAATTTGTGAGTGTTGGGTATTGTGTCCCAGTGACAAGAACTTAACTAAAAATTTGTCAAGATAAAATCCAAAAGGACAGATAAATTGGGAGAGAAGTTAAAAGGCAGCAGAATTTCAGGAATTGGAAGCTATCTGTAAAGAGGTTAACTGGTGGGGCTGAGCCGAGAAAGCTGAATCTTAAGGCCACGAAGAAGAAATCCAGGAACCAAAGTGATATTTAACTGTGTTCACAGGACCTGTCATGGCTCTGGAATTGTTAGCATTAGGCGTTCTGGGAGTAGCGGTAAAAGTAGGGCCCAAAACAGCAAGATGACTGAAAGTTTGTTTAGAATTAGTCTGCAGGGTTGGTTGTCACCCCTTTCCAATCCTAGTACAGGAGTAGAGACTTACTCCTAGGGAGGAAAGAGGTTCCATACTGGGGTTGGTGGGAGGAGATAAAGTGAAAGTAAACATTATGAACATGGAGAGAAACAGCCCAACCTCATCATCCTCTTGTCTTTCAGAATACACATGCTCCAGGTGGAAGATAAGAATATTCCTTTCTGAAGAATCTGAGTAGTTTAAGAGAAAGGACCTAAAGATATGAACAAAGAGAATCCCCAGTGAGAGGTCCATGCACGGGATCAGAGCTTCCAGTCAGTTCTATCATACAGCTTCCCTCAATAGGATTACGCACACTGAGAGCATCAAAAATGAGAGGAAAGATTGTAGCATTAATGACAGAGACCAAAAGTAACAAACAGGAAGAGGAGGAAAGAGGAAGGGAGGGATAGAAGGAAGGAGGGAAGCATCCATTAAATACAAGGAGTGAGAGAAGTGTGGGAGGGGAAAAGGAGGGAGGAAAGGAGACTTGGAAGAAATATAGTTACTTGAACTCATAGGGAGAGATGAAGAATAAAACAAAGAAAACAATATTCTCAAAGTGATAAAAGAAGATATTGCATCTATAAAACAAGAATGGTATTTTACTTCTAAATAGCTGCACTTGGGGAACAAAAAAGAAACTTGCAGAAATCAAGAGTATAATAACAAATTAAAAACTACTACAAAAAGGATGGAAAATAAATTTAAGAGTGTTTCCCATAGGCTAGTGCAAAAATGAGGTAGGAATGGATTTTGAGGAAAAATGATTTTGAAAATTAGACGTGTGTGTACATGTACCAACTCTGCACAAGGACTGGAAATATTATGTATTTCAAACATTAAAAAAAGAGAGGGCTCAAGAAATGGATGGAAGGGGTGAGAGGAAATGAAATAGTATGAAATAAAAGAATGAAAATGTGTTATGTATGTGTACCAATTCCCAGGAAAGTAAACATGCACTGCAAATATGAACATACTAATAAAAAATGAAAAAAAAAAAACAGAGGGCCTTTCCAGTAAATTCAACATGTGGATAACTGGCAATGATAGAGGAAGACATTTAACTGCTCAATTTTTTTTTCTTCCGGTACTTCTCTCTTCCAGGAGTCGAACTCACGACCTTGCACTTGCCAGGCAGACGCTTTGCCCCTGAGCTAAATCCCCAGCCCCAATTCTTTATAATTGCATAGATTTTAAAGATATGAGTCTCCAGATTGAAAGTATCCATTAAATACAAGAACAATGAATGAAAATAAACTCACTCTAGCAGACATTATTGTCAAATTTCTTAACTCTGGATTCAGAGAAAGACCCTACAATATTTTCAGTGAGAAAACACAAAAAATTCATATAAAGAATCAAGAATTACAGTGGCATTACACATTTGGCAGCAATACAAGCATAGGGGCAATGTCTTCAAAATTCTGGGGTACATTGTTCCAACCTAGAATTCTATTCTACGACAAAGTGTCAATCAAGTGTAGGATAAGATAAATTACTCCAGATGTGCTTGATATTGAAATTTTGTTACTCTGCACTCTTTTGCAGGAAACTACTCAAAGATGTGTTCCACTAAAATTCAGGGAGCAAGCCAAGAAGAAAGCAGAGCTCAATAACTAGGTAAGTCCTCCTCAGAGAGAGGTGAAGGAAATTTCTGGGATGGGGTCAAACAGGACCTCAGAATACCAACAAGCTGGGAGAACCATGAACCAGTCTAGAGGAAAGCAGGCCAGAAGTCTCCAGGAGGGAATTCCTGACAGTGACGTGGAGAAATGGTATATCTAATACAAGTGAGCAGATTTTTCAGACAAGGGAAAACTCTGATGTTGCATTAGTGAAGAATACATAGAAAGCTAAGTAAAAAAAAAAAAAAGCTAGATCATTAACACCAAGAATTATAAACTGTTACAGTATGTAGGAACAAGTAATAGTAGCATAAACGGCTTACCTGTACATATCATTTGCATAACCATAATAATGTAAACAGTGAATATTGATCTAATTAACGCTATGGTATTGCTATATTGGCAAGATGAAGGGATGCCTAAGTGATGGGAGTGGGTGTTTGTGTGTGAAAAGACTACATCCTCATCTTGGGTGGGGAAACATTAGGTACTGCTTAAAAGAAAATATCACGTAGTAGCATACATATATTATTTACAGAACGGAAGTAAATAGCACAATCAAAGTGTTGAAAGAGGTCCCCTTTGTGGAGCAGGAAATTGAGAGTTTGGGAGGAAGGACAAAAGCTTTCATAACAAACTTTAAAGCTCTTGACTAAACTATATGCCTTCATAACTCCAAAGTTTGTTTGGCAAGAGGAAAAACTAGAGACAGGAAGTCTTTTTTTTTTTTTTTTACTTTTGTAAAAGTTCAGAGATTATAATCTGCAGGACTTATTAACCTGTAGTGTTAGGAAGGAGATGGTAGACTTGAAAAATGAGAAAAGATCTACCAAACTTGGCAGGTGATACAAGTCATGAATGAGAAGAAGTCAAAGCTGCTGTTGGCTTAGAGGAGGTAGATAAAGACGCCATTAATTGAGCAAAGGAAAACGGAGATGTAGAATGATAAGATGGATTTTTCAGTATTTTAGGCTTGAGTATCTGTATACATCTTTGTAGAGATGACTATGTTGGGGCAATAAGTTTGGATTGGGAAGTTAAAAGAGAGATCTGAGCTGGTAGCAAAAATTTGAGAATCATTTCTTACAGATAATAATTGAAATGTGAGAAAAAAAATGATATAGTTCAATAAATGGAATAGTCAAAGAAAAAACAAAAACAGAATTAGGGTAAATGTGAAGACTCCCTGCACTGAAGGACTGGGAAATGGAAGGGGAACTCATTTATAAAGAGCAGTCAGAGATAAGAAAACACATTGTAAAGAATTGGGAGAGAAGTGAGCCTCTAAAATTGAGGCTCAGGGCATGATGGTGAATTTGTGGATTACAAGCTTCATATCCATTTTCAGTGCAGTTCTACAGCTGACACAGAAGCGAGGAAAGCTGATGGATCTTAGAAGCATACATTAAAAATTGTGAAAACTCTGGTGTCCTCTGCCACGTTTCTTTCACCCACTTCTGATGGCAGCTGCAGCTGCAGTGGGCAGGTCTAGGCAAGCTCAGATTCAACACATGGCCTTGCCTCAAGACCATGCTCTCTGTTCAGCATTTCTGCCCCTCACAGTTCTCTGTGGGAGGCCTGCTCCTTCCAAAAGCCCTGCAGACTGGGCGCCCACTGGGGCTTCTCTTAGCCAGTGGGAGATGGAGCCTGGGGGATGATTTGAGAATTGATCTCAGTATTAGCTCTGCCCTCTTATGCTCCTCTGCCTCCTCCTCTCTTCTCTTTCCTCTTTCTTCCCCCTCTCCATTTTTGCAGTACAATGAACTGAAGACTTCATGCAAATGCCTTACTACTGAGCTATATCCTCAGCCCTCTTTTATTTACCTCACGTCCTCACTTCCTGTGACGTGAAGTAACTACCTGCAGGCAGGTTTTTGTCTCAGGCTGTATTTTTGAGAAGTCCAGGGGGGATGGGCGGGGGTGGGGTTGGGGGGGTGGAAGAAGCCAAGAGGGGAGGCAAGTGTCACAAAGTTGGTGTAGACTCACTCTTTAAAAAGAGACTCATGCTTTAACACCTCCCCTCCCCATAGCCTTGGAATTTAAAGTAAAGGAAGCAACTCCAGGAAATGGGCAGTGCCTTGTTAGGTCTAGCTGGGTATATCAGAAAAATCTGTAACAATAGTGGCTTAAGTACATTTCTCTCTTTTTCAAGTACAGTGAAAGGAGTGCGTCTGGTAGGCAGGGAGGACTTCACAGAAGCGCCTTCTTGACTGTTCTACACTGCCACCCAGTGCTGCCATAGTCAAGAATCACATCAGTCCCACATTGTGCCAGACTTGTAGTTACCAATTTTAGCGGAGCAGCAGGAAAAGTCAAGGGAAAGAGCTTATTTCTCTCCTTTAACAAGCACTTCTGCTTACATTTCACTGAGCAGAGTTTACGTACATAGCCACACCCAATGTTTAGGAAAGTTGGGAAATGAAAGGTTTCATTCTGGGTAACCACCAGAAAAATAAAAAATACAAAGGCAACTTTCAAATTCAATGCAAAAAATTTTGCTAAATTTAATAGACTGTAGGAAAGAAGAAAAAAGCTACTAAAAAAAAAGCGTGAACATAGAAACCAAATAGATCTTTCTATTAAAATAAATGTAAAGTGATTTAGCTTTACAATTAAAAGGCAGAGGTGCATAGATTGAATTTTAATAGTAACACTCTATTTTATAAAACAAGTACATTTAAAATTAAAGAAACAGGCTAAAATAAACACTAGAAAAAGGTATACCAGAGAAATATGAGTCAAAGAAGTACCAGGATAGCAATCATATCAGACAAAACAGAATTAAACATGCAAAATATCACAAGATATAAAAGATACAAAATACTGGTAAAATAATAATATATCAATAACCATAGTGTTAGCTGGGTGTGGTGGCACACGCCTATAATCCCAGCACTCTGGAGGCTGAGGCAGGGGGATTGCTTTAAATTTGAGGCCAGCCTGGGCTACATAGGCTAAGGTCAACCTGAACTAGATACCAAGCCACTGTCTCTAACACAAAAAAAAATAAAACAAAAAACCATATAGTGCTTAAGCTCATAAATATACTTATTGGTAGACACTAAATATGTAAAGCAGTAAGTGGTAGAGCTACAGGAAGAAATAAATCAAGTATTGTACTTGAAGAGTTTAATGCACTCCTCATTTACTCAAGCTCATAAATAAGCAGAGATATAGGATATTTGAATAACATGAGTAGTAAGCTCAAAATAAATGTTGTGGAGAAATTTTTACTCATCAAAGTCACATTATCAAACATATATGGAATATTCATTCCTTATCCAAATTAATTGAGGAGCATACACTCATACACAAACACATAGAGGTTACATCCTAGTGAGAAAGCCCAATCATAAATGCATAAAAGCATTTCATGTACCAGTACATAGTGGAAAAAAAATTTTAGTAAGAAAGTAAAGGAGAAATAGGGGTGGCATTAGGTGCTTCAAACTGGAGATATATCTCAGTGGTACAGTATTTGCCTAGTATGTGAGAGGGCCTCCGTTCAATACCTAGGGATATATAGATAGATAGATAGATAGATAGATCGATAGAAAGAATCAGATGGCCAACGAAGTCTTCTCTGAGGAGGTGTCATGAATAAATGAGGAAAATAGCTATGTGACAGGAAAGAGAAGAGCATTTCTGGTAGGGAGAGGAGCAAGTCCTGTGATGGGAAAGAGTTTGGCATATATGAGAGAAGCCAGCATGGCTGGAGTAGATATTTCATTAGGAGGAAAAAATAGCAGAATATTCACTTAGGAATCCAAGAGTCACATCACGTAGAGCAATACCTCTGACCCCTACCAAATCCAAAGATCTTCCTTTGTTAATGAAGAAATGTTAACGGAAGTATAACAAATATGTCTAGTAAGCTTAGTAGGTGTCTTTAGGCCCCTATGGGGAACATGTGGAGGAAGATTTATAGTGCACCTTTTTTTTAATTTGTCTTTTTTTTTTTTTTTTTTTTTGAGACAGGGTCTCACTATGCAGTTCAGGCTGGCCTTGAGCTCACTTTGTAGCCCAGGCTGGTCTTGAACTTGCAACCATCCTCCTGCCTCAGCCTCCCAAGTGCTGGCATAACAGGCGTGTGCCACCACACCCAGCTTTTACAATGTATTCTTGTGGCTTTGTTGTAGTATCTTTCTTCAGAGGCATTTGGCCTTTCCATCAGTGAAAATGTCCACGAGCCACCCAAATCCTAAACACCTGCTAAGGGGCCAAGACTTTAATTTGTGACTTGATTTAGGTTTCTAGTCTCCAGAGGTTTTACAGTTGTACTGATACAATGACACTTTAGTGGGCTGTCCGCATATTTAATTCCTGAATGCATCATGATCTGTAGTTTTGCCACTTCAAGATATTCTGGATACACTGAAGTAAATTTGTGCTGTCATTACAGTAATTTCTCCTGCCTTATTTCTGGTGGCGAGGTGCGGCCACTTGGCTCTGTTGCTTTCATTTCCACCAAAAACAGAGCCAGTTCACCAGCAGCCTCATCCACTATTATCCCACCACTGTGGAGCTTTGGAAAGATACCATTGAGCCCCTTCGCTAGTACATTTCTCATGGCCTGGTACACAGATATCCTTTTAGCTTTCTTGAAGTGGCTACGTCGTAGAGGGGGTGAAAAGGCATGCTGCAAATGATAAACGAGCTTCACTTCCTGTTCCTCTTGGACCTGTGGTATATTCTTCATGACAAGGACCTTCTATCCCATCACTTTATGGAATACTGAGTCCAAAGTTCATCAATCAACAAAACAAACTGTTAGAGCCCCTTCCAGCTATTCTACCACGCATATATTAAATCTAGAATCACTTGCAGATACATTCACATGAGTTATATTTTGGCTTGCTCTAATTTTGACTTGTTTCCTCTTTGGGCGAATAGACTTTAAATTCATTTCCAAGTTATTTTACATTTTTATTTCTCTGCATATTAGAAAAATCTGGAAATTTTATCAGTACAGAGGGCAGGTCCTCCTGGGTTAAAGTTAGCATTCATTTCCTTGAAATATGCTGCGCTAGGACTCTAGTTACGCATCTAAAGTCATTTTGGGGTGATCAGCCTGGGTCTTGAGAAGGGCATCTCTTTACAAGGCAACTTCCCCAGGCAGTACTGTACAGGATCTTTAAGCAAATCTAGTCTCCTCAGACATAGGAGAGTCAGGCTCTTTCTGTCAACATGAGAGGCAGGGAGACTTGGGCATTCAAAACTTTCATCGTTATGCAATTCTACCTACAGGTCCCCATTCTGAGTTTCAGATTCACTCCTTCTCAGTATCATGAGTCTAATATGAGACATGGTAAGCCTGTGAGTTCAACTTACCATTTTGCAATTCAGACAGCTAAATTTGGGGTCTGACTTTCTGTAAGTTTGGCTGTGCAGCTATAATTAGTTTAGGGTTGTTGTAGATACTCTCTGGCTCTCTGTGCCTTGTGATGAAAGTTTGAAACTATAATTTTGTTGTTTTCTTTCTGTAATCTCTCCAGGGTCATTAGAAACAGCAGTTCTAGCCCACAGTTTATTACTGCTATGCAAGTGCAATAGACACTTGATTCTCCAAGCTGCTGCTTTCAGTAGGAGCAGACAACTACAAGTGCTATGCCAAACAATCCTAAATCCCATTTTTGAGGGTCTTTTTCCAGGGAGGACCACTCTGTCACCAAGAACCGCATTCGCTAGAGTGCAGTCAGGAAAACAGAAACCACATGAGTCATTTTAGCCAAGAGAATTCAGTATCAGAAATGTGTTGCATGGGGTTTAGAAGGCTAAAAAAAAAACCCCAAAAGCAGACCTGAAGGCCCAGAAATGATGACCTTCACGGGGCAGAAGGAAGAAATCAGTGTTTGCAGAAACTAGAAGCTGGGAGGAGGCCTCGGGTACGCTGAGGAAGAAGTACTGGTACCTGAGGGGGTGCCTGAAAGCTAATTTTGGAATTACCAAAAAAGGTGAGAGAATGGAGCCAATGGCCGCAGCCTGAGGGAAGTCACAATAACACTGTTGATGTAACAGGGCAAAGAGCAGCAGGCAACAGGAGGAGGCAGTCCCAGTCTTCCTTCCTCTGTCTCGCTCCCCCTCTAACACTCCGGGCAGCAGAACCAAAGAGAACTGCCTGGCAAGAGAGAACCCTGGCTTGCACAGTCCTCCACCCAGCCCGCAAAGCTGAGTTTAGAAGAGCGGCTTAGGGGCTGATTTAAGACAGTTATGTGTGTTTAAACACATACTAGAGACTCCATCACACTAAAGAACATGGTAAAATAGTCCTATGTTTATAGCCATATGCAAATCAGTAGAAAAGTGACAGCTATACATGTATTCGACATATGGGACCAGTGATGCAAATAATACGAGTGGTGCTGTCAAGAATAATGTGAGTCTCCAAAGTGCTGAGCAACTTTGGGTAATGTTACAAACAAAATAATATATCA